TAGTATTTCAGTCTTCTTCCATGTAATTACAGTGTGTATTGTTTTGTTCCCGCTGTTGTCAATACATTGCCTCAACAAATTATTGGTTACTTTTTGATCCCATGTGTCTGATTTATCAAGATTGTATCACTATCAGAGCGGTGGTGTATCTCTAACTTTTGGGGCCATCAGTTCAGTAATCATAGAATCATAGAACTGGAAGAGACTTCGAGAGTCCAGTCTCCTGCACTCATGGCAGGACTAAGTATTATGTAGACCAGGGGTCGGCTATGTAGACCAGGGGTCAGCAATGTTCGGCAAGCGGCTCGCCAGGGTAAGCACCCTGGCGGGCTGGGCCAGTTTTATTTACTTGCTGACGCGGCAGGTTCGGCTGATCGCGGCCCCTACTGGCCGCGGTTCGCCGTCCTGGGCCAATGGGGGCGACGAGAAGCGGCACAGGCGAGCGATGTGCTGGCCGCGAACGTTGCCGACCCTTGATGTAGACCATTCCTGACAGGTGTTTGTCTAACCTGCTCTTAAAAATCTCCAATGATGGAGATTCCACAACCTCCTTAGGCAATTCATTCCAGTGTTTAACCACCCTGACAGGAAGTTTTTCCTAATGTCCAACCTAAACCTCCCTTGCTGCAATTTAAGCCCATTGCTTCTCGTCCTATCCTCAGAGGTTCAGAAGAACAATTTTTCTCCCTCCTCCTTGTAACAACCTTTTTTGTACTTGAAAACGGTTATCACATCCCCTCTCGTCTTCTCTTTTCTAAACTAAACAAACTTGATTTTTTCAATCTTCCCTCATAGGTCATGTTTTCTAGACTTTTAATCATTTTTGTTGCTCTTTTCTGGGCTTTCTATAATTTGTCCACATCTTTCCTGAAATATGGCACCCAGAACTGGACACAGTACTCCATTTGAGGCCTAATCAATGCAGAGTAGAGCGGAAGAATTACTTCTTGTGTCTTGCTTATAACACTCCTGCTAATACGTCCCAGAATTATGTTCGCTTTTTTTGCAACAGTGTTACACTGTTGATTTATACTTAGTTTGTGGTCCACTATGACCCCCAGATCCCTTTCCGCAGTACTCCTTCCTAGGCAGACATTTCCCATTTTATATGTGTGCAACCGATGGTTTCTTTCTAAGTGGAATACTTTGCATTTGTTCTTATTGAATTTCATCCTATTTACTTCGACCATATCTCCAGTTTGTCCAGATCATTTTGAATTTTGATCCTATTCTCCAAAGTACTTGCAACCCCTCCCAGCTTGGTATCATCCGCACACTTTATAAGTGTACTCTCTATGCCATTATCTAAATCATTGATATTGAAGATATTGAACAGAACCGGACCCAGAACTGATCCCTGTGGGACCCCACTCGTTATGCCCTTCCAGCATGTTTGTGAACCACTGATAACTCTCTAGGAACGGTTTTCCAACCAGTGTTGCACCCACCTTATAGTAGCTCCATCTAGGTTGCATTTCCCTAGTTTGTTTATGAGATGGTCATGCGAGACAGTATCAAATGCTTTTAGTAAAGTCAAGATATATCACATCTACTGCTTCCCTCCTATTCAAAAAGCTTGTTACCCTGTCAAAGAAAGCTATCAGGTTGATTTGACATGATTTGTTTTTGACAAATCCATGATGACTGATACTTACCACCTTAATGTCCATATGGTTACTGTATATACTATTTGCACATTTATGACAATCTGATTTTTAATAAGAATAAAATGTATTTCCAAAAAGCATGTGTTATAGACACAAGAAGGTCTAAGAAAAGGTTTTTAGGATAATGAAAGGTAGTTCCTGGGCCCACTGGCCCTTATCCTAATTCAGGGTTTGAAAAACCCACTAATTCATTTATTTCTGACAGTGGGAAAGCTTTCCCCAACCAGTGGGTCCTCAGACATCAATTTCCAGAGAATCTGTTCTATTAGGTATTTTAGTTAGGTTTCTTGCCATATGTGCTGTGACAATAATCTTCTGAATGTGAACAGATGCATTAATATCTTTCTCAATCTGTAGACAGGGGGTTCCAATGCATCTTTAGCTGCTCATAGCTTTCCCAAATGCCAGCAGAATGAAATTAACTCAGCTGCAGTCAGTGTCACCAATTCATAATCCTGTGTTCAGCAGTGAAACGGGCCAGAATTATCTCCATATTACCCTGCTGACTGGGAAAGTTGTGAGCAACAGAAAAGACAGGCACTCAAGCTAATCATTAGAGGATACAAAGAAGGAACCTGGCCAGCTGGGGGGCCATCACTTCAAACACACAAGCTCATATACCTAACATCCAGGATACTAGGAGAGGAGGAGAGATCCATAAACAACTCCTTGCAACCGCAAGGTAGCTGGTTGAAGGGCAGAATAGGAGAAAACTATTCCTTTGCAGAAGGCAGGAAAGGACAGGAGAAACACATTTATGAAGCCCTTGTGATAGTGAAGCAGACTGTCAAGAACATGATGAGGAAAAGAGAGATCTTTCTACTTTCTAACAGTGGAGGGTGGGAGTGAGAAGGGAAACTTCATAGTTATCAAAAACAACAAGGAGTCTGGTGGCACCTTAAAGACTAACAGATTTATTTGGGCATAAGCTTTCGTGAGTTAAAACCTCACTTCTTCGGATGCATAGAGTGAAAGTTCACTCTATGCTTTCACTCTATGCACTCTATACTTTCACTCTATGCATC